ATATATATAACTGCTACTCTACTCTACGTCCCAATGGGATTTTTTATTTCCTTATATAAGTACTACACAAAACAGCACAGACAAACACACATACACACACACGATCATTCATGCTAATTATTTTCTCGTACTTCCTCGATCGAGCTTCGATCTTCTTACACACACATACAGACAGACACATAATGTATCGGTATTATAGGGTATTTTTCTTCCGAGATGCGCTATCGCTTGGTCGATCGATTTTTGTCTCTCTCTCGCGCACGGAGTTACGCAATGTATTATACATATTTCACGGCCTCCTCGCGCGTTTACTTAACTCAACGGGCAGCTAATAAGTATCAACATCTCTCTTTCTCGATATCGTACACACAACACAGGTAGAGAGAGATATATACATTATAATGCCCACATACATCCCGCTGCTAACTCGGGCCCCAGACTCGATCTCTGCTGCATGCTCGCGCTTAGAGATATCGCGGGTGTAGGTGCGTAATGGTATGTTCGTGCAACACCTGGTGTGTGTGTGTGTGTGTATATATAACAGCGGCCGGGGAATGCGCTTCATTATTTTAAACTCGAGCTCGCGGATACCGTGCCTACTACTAGCTGGCGTACTACTATATTTAACAGGTACAGAGCTGATAGGCGAATTAAGAGTGGAAAGAGAAGAAAATAAAGTGAAAAAAAGACAGAAACACACACACACACGAGGCGCGTATATAGATTGGTAATAGCCAAGCTGCAAAACGATAACGCATCGTTCTTATATACCACTGCTGCTGCTATGTACGCGTGATAAGAGCTCCATATAGCATCTCTACTCGGGCGCGCGCGAGCTACTCTCGAGGAAGTAATTTTTCTTTTTTTACAAATAAACGCAAGAGAGCTGCGCTTTATGAATTATGAGGCCAACTCGCGAAGGGCGTGTGCTGCTGCCGCACTGCACAACGCGAAGCTGTGAAATTTTTGCCAGTCCAGCGCGAAGCAGCAGCAGAGAGAGAGAGAGAGAGAGAGAGGTTGAATTTTAACCTTTTTTTTCATTGCTGTTTGTTCAGCGGCAGCAGCAGCTCGTGTGGCGCTAGGATATATCTCTCGGCAAATATAAATTTATCGACTCTACTCGCGCGAGCGGCTATATATTGATTCATGAACGTGTGTTGCCTGAGTAGCGTAAGGTACATAGGCTGCTGCAGTTCGTATAATATAAGGATCGTGGGGGCGATATTTCCGACGCAGCGCCCAAGTGCTTTATCGAGTTTAAAGTAGCTTTTGACTTCTTGGTATATCGTGAGCTCTATGCGAGATATAACCCTCATAATTACCATCAATTTTATTTGCGGCGAAACGCGCCAATTTTTCGTTCGTTCATCTACGGCCGGTCCACGGCATAAATTTCTCGCGTTTGCAAGGCGATTGCTTCTGGCTCGTGTGTATCAATGCGGCAGAATTTCGATCCTCGAATGTCATGCTATACAGATATTAAGCGCATTTGGTATGAACTGAGAATGACTTATTGAGTCACTGTGAATGCCTCAATACAACTTCGAGTCTCCACCGCTAGGTGTCGAGTACCTTTATCCATGAGTCTGCAAGTGGTACAATTAAAGTAATTGCATAAGTTGAAGCACGGTTTCGAATGTAGAACCTTCACTTAGCATACGTTCAATTTTAATGGCTCGATTATTAATCAGTCAAAAAGCCTTCATGAGATCATGAAATAATTATAATTCCACCCGATCTGAGAATAAATTGGTCGAAGAAACATCGATAGCCATTTAAACTCAAGTGCACTGCAATCCCTTCGAGGTACGATGCACACCTCGGCACAGACACGAGCTAGCTCGTACGGTGTGTCGGGCACTACGCGTAAACGCGAGTTTTACACACGTTTACAGTATACAAGTGCTAAATAATATTGGCATAGCCGGAGAAAGAGAGGAATTCCTTAAGCGACCGTACACCTCGCACGTATATATATCTCTGTTTCTCTGCCCACGCGCGGCACATAGCTGTGTTTCTTTCCTTCGTTCGCTATACGCACATGCACTTTATTCTCCGCGTACTCGCGCCGCGGTTAAATTGCATAAGTGCGCGCGCGGCGGCTGCAGGCATTGACATTCGACGAATGTGGCATATTTTATATATTATACATATACAGCAGCTCTCGCGAGTCAACCGTATACCGTATATATACAAGTGCATGAATATTAAACTGTATATACGCATCTGTAACGAATTCGCCAATGACGTTTTATATATGTATATATCTCGTGCAGGTATATAGCCGAGCGGTGGGCTGTTGTGAGAAAACTTTTTGTCTCTAATAGGACATGCGCCGTGTAGCGCACGACTGGCCAATATACACGCCATGGGAGCGATTGGAAAATCATTAATCGAAATTAAATCATTGAACGTCGCCTCAAACGACTTTCACCGAGTCGGCCGCGATCGACCGCGCGGCGCAACACTGCAGCAGAGCTCGCGCGGATTCTCTTTATACGCTGGGCTTTGCGCGCGGCAAAACAGAGACAGAGACTCCTACGTGTTCTCTCGGGGGCCTGCACATACACATATACATGCACCCATGTGAAAAAGGAAATTTTATAGTAGACAAATTACCTTTCTATCTGTCGCTTTGTATATTCTTAATTGAATTTTAAGTGCGCTCGCTTATATAGCCTCTTCTCTCTCTCTCTCTCTCTCTCTCTCTCTTTCTGTCTGTGCGCACCGCGAATACCCCGTTAAGTCCTTGCAGCGTGCAGGTACTATAGATATACGTTTCGCCGCGATGCTCGCGCATTACATTCAGCCATTCGCGCGCACACACACAGGATTTATTGTGAAAAAATAAAAATTCTGGATGCCCGAGGAATGTATTGAAGAATCGATAAAAGGCCCTTTTTTTACTCTACGCTTTGATAGAATGAAATATAATTCACCTGTGCGCGCATTATGCGCGTGTGTGTGCGCTCTCGCGCCTTCATTAAAATGTAGATTACTTTCTTTAGGCCACCTGTACAGTACATCTATAGTGTACGTTAAAAGTGTCAAATGAAATTTATCTAGTTTATATATTCGAAACTGTACGAGCGCTCGAGGATTATTTTTACGACGCGCGTCCATCTAAATCAACATTTTTTCGCGTTTGCCAGTAGTTTTTTGAGTACCAAAAAAAAACAGATTTTACTACTCTGTAGCACGAGATCGAATCAACGTATTACGATAATAGGATAATATTTTTCGTAAATAAAAAAAAGCCTCGATCGCATTCAACCATTTTCATCGACAATCGGCCTCGCGTTTCCCTACTCGATGCTCTATACTTCGGGACGTGTAAGTGATGCGTGCAGGCGCGGACGAGAGTTTACAGCATTCGAAACTTGCGAAATGTCGATTTATTTTCTACAATACAGCGGCTAATGAGTATATTGCTTAATTTACGCTACCTTACTGCGCGCGCGCACTTTTTCGCATCGTCGCGCGGTTAAAATTAATTTTGAAATAACAAAAGCTCGACGGATTTACTCGGATCGTAATGTGTACGGCTCGGACTTTTTTATTCGTGAAAATTCATGAAATTCGATACATCCCCCACCCGTGCAGCAATTAAAGTCGAACAAAAATTGTGGTACTGCTATGCTCGCGTATATACATCGATCGGGAATTACCTCACTCCCGCGCAGAGTTCGTTATACGATCGTGTTGGCTTGCGTAGGTATATACTCCATTTACTATCGGCGCACAATCGTCGAAACTCTGCTCTTAATTACCACAATTAAATCGCATCACAAAGAAAAGCTTCGCAAGAATACGTGTGTTATATGTGTATATAATGCGCAGCCATGTGTGCGTCGCGCATGTGTGCAACAACGAGAAGAATCCACGAAGCCTTCTCTTCCTCATTCCATTTCAGCTTCACCCATTCAGCTATCATCCTTGTAACCGCCAACTTTTACAATCACCTATATAATACTCGCGCAAGTTGGCAATTCGATCCATAAGCTTCTTTGATTCTTTCCGATGCCGACTACGACGCCGCCGCCGCTGCGTCTCCACTTCTTCTTCTTCTTCGTCTCTCTTTATTACCCGCGCGTGCACCGCCACGCGCTTTATTCTATTAATTTTCCCGCGCAACACCCTTTTAAGGTCGCGCGATACACATATACCACCCCATATATATACAGCGCATACACATGAGCGCCTATGCAGGCGGCGGCTACTTTGCTTACGTACACACATAATATAAGCGCACGAGAGCCGTTGTCATCGATGCTGCGCTCGAGTTGTCGCGGCGACAGCTTCTTGAGCATTGTTGGCGCCTCCGTATATAATGCTCGCTCTCACCCCTTGCCTGCAGCTACCAAGAGAGTCGAGTTCGATCGCAGCAGTAACGGCGGCGGCGGCGGCGGCGAGGGAGGCCCTTATTAGGCACCATATAAAACCAGTTGTCGCGCGCGAGAACCGAGCGCCGCTGCATCCGTGATTCCTGTATTATTATGCACCGCGGTGCGTTTATTTTTCATATGTTTTACAGACTGCTGTGATATCGTGAGAATTTCTGCAGGTATCTAAAGCGAAACCGATCGATCGTCGATTATTTTATGTCACTTTACGTTACACTTCCATACGAGTAATTCACATTATGATTTTTCACACGCTTGCTTTTACGTGAACTTGAACTGACGGTTTTTCTAGATTCATTGTCAAGGCCTGTAGAAGCTCGCGCGAGCCATGCTCGTGATATTTTCGATGAAATTACGTGCGCAACTTCCGAAATACTTTTATCGACTCTGTTATTGTATTGTGTATGTACGTGCCGAAAAAAAAACTTGAAAAGGCGTATCTTTTTCGCCAGGATAATTTGCATCACAAGAGAAATTTAGCTATAACTTATTTAAAGTCACACATCCCAGATAAACGGTACTCCGTGACTAATTACCCGACGATAATGACTATAAAACCTACGCTACTTTTTCGACGTTAGTTCATAATTGCGCGATTGGCGATTTTTCAATTTTTGCCCTCCCCCAAAAAATGATACAATGAAGTTGACTCGCGACGTAATAATATCTTTGCTGAATCTTTCACTATGTGTTCACTTGTCTCAATCTACCGTGATGGAAAAATTGAAGGAAGCTCTGCCGACGGTAAAAGAAGTTTACGACGATGCCCAGGTAATCGGTGAACAGTTGGGAAAAGCTCTGGACGTGGCTTACGAAAAAATCGAGACAGGCCTCAACGATTCCTCTCTCGGATGGAAAACAGTGCGTTAACAAAATTTACATCTTGAGTCATAAAATTATAACACAAATCGTTGCATGCAATACGATTCGTTGATAGCCAGAATTGATAAGAGATTCGGGATACAATTTCGAAGCTCACGAGGTCACGACCGAGGACGGCTACATACTGACGCTGCACAGAATTCCCGGCCCTCCCAACGCGCCCATCGTCTTCCTGCAGCACGGAATCACCGAGAGCTCGTCTTGCTGGGTACTGTCCGGCAAAGGCAACGCCCTGGGTGAGTCGATTTCGAACCCAACATGTTGCTTCTTAAGGTCTTGGAACGAGTTATTTTATGGTGTGTGTTTTAAATGTAGCCTATTTGCTTGCCGATAGAGGGTACGACGTGTGGCTGGGCAATGCCCGAGGAAACATCTACTCGCAAGGGCACGTCTCGTTGTCCGTGAACGATACGAAATATTGGCAATTCAGGTGAGTTATTTTACAAGTTAATTCGGCTAAAAACGATGCTTTCGACGTCTCTCTCTTTCTCTCTTAGCTGGCACGAAATGGGCATCTACGACATACCGGCTGTGCTCTCTTACCTGACCAGCATCCGAAACGACAAAGTCATCTACATCGGACACTCGATGGGCACCACCATGGCCTACGTCATGTCGATCCTGCGACCCGACGCCGCGCAAAACGTCAGCGCCATTTACAGCCTCGCCCCGGTGGCCTACTGCGGACACGCCAAGAGCCCCGTGCGCTTCGTGACGCCGTTCCTCGACGAGATCGAGCTGATCAGCGATTACCTGGCCCACGGCGAGTTCGTACCTCGTAACAAACTAGCCAAGTACGTCGGCATGTACCTCTGCGATTGGTTGGGCGTAGCATTCAATGGATTCTGCACCGATGCTCTGTTCTTCTTGTTTGGATTCGATAACAAGAGATTCAACGACGTACGTATTTTCAATGGATTTTTTTATTTTTTATTTTTTACGATTTGAGGAATGTATGGAAATTTTCAGACGCTAACTCCGTCGATCGTGGCGCACACTTTGGCGGGCTCGTCGATCAGAGAGCTAACGCACTATGGTCAGCTGATAAAATCTCACAAGTTTGAGCAATTCGATTGGGGCAAAGAAGAAAACAAAAGAATTTACGGAGACGACGATCCACCGGAGTACGATTTATCGAAAGTCAACGTGCCGGTAGCTCTGTTTTGGGCAAGAAACGATTGGTTGGCCGATACAAGGGTACAAATAATTTTTTCAATCTAAAATAGATACAATTATTGACGATAATAATTTTGCAGGACGTGCGAAGGCTGCGAAGAGAACTGCCCCGCGTTATTGCGGATCATCCTATCAACTACAACAAATTCAATCACATAGACTTTTTATGGGGCTTGGATGCAAAAAAACTCGTTTACTCTCCTCTGATTCAACTAATCGAAAGTTTTTCCCTGGGAAGAAGATCGTCCAGGAGACCCAGGGGATAAAAAGTGCTATTCTTTTAGCGATTTACCTTTCATGGCAGTTTGATGCCTCGTGAGTAAAAAATTCCTTTTTTTACGAACTGTATCTCAAAACTTTCATCACAATCTTATTGATATAAAGAGAAAAAAAATAAATCCGATCCGCGGCTATGCTGCCTTTTTATTATTACTTTATTCTTGACCTCTAACGCAAGCGCGCATTACTCGCGCGTGCATTACTGTATATCAATTGTTTCTGCATAAAAGCGTAGATAAAAAAAAAATAAACTCGTTGGCATATTATCGCAAAGAGAGAAATATATGCCGTGTACGTAACTGGAGTGTGTATACGAGCATGATGCAAGGGCCTATAATGCCAGTCATAAATCGAAAATGCAGAAACGATCACAAAGAGTTCTATAACTTTTACTGTCTGCAGTTGGTGCTGGTGCCGATCTGCGCGCCGCATTATACGCCTTTAACGCAACTTCGTGCGCGCTTAAACTGAAATTAAATATAATTAAAACAATCGCCCCACAACGAAGCTGAAAAAAGAATTGACTCATTAAAGCTGAAAAATCTATTCTCCGATTGATTGCCGCGGTCATTTAGAAACTTATAGAGTTCGCAACTTGTTCTGGCGCGCGCGCAAACCTGCTACGAGTGTGTAAATATTATATTGAGATTGATAAGTCGCGCGGGCATTATGCGCATATCGTCACGCTAGGCTTTATACTGTAGACGTATACGTTTAGCTTACAGCCGCGTTGCGTTGTGGCGCGTAGTATATACAGTATATGGAGATATCGTACCGACATATCTCAAGTCGGGCGACGCGATATATTATATGGACATTTGACACTGCGTTACGCATTTATATTAGTGTTATACGCGTAGCGCAGCGAAACAAAGGAGAGCTTTGAAAACGTTGTAAACTTTTTCGACACTCTGTCGCACAGTGAGAAAACGTACGTTTGCGTTATTTGTAAGCTCGTGCTCGAGGCTCCGCGGAGCGTTGCGGTAAATTCGAAGAATCGGAGCAATATTTTATAGGCTGATTTATTCGTTTTACCGGAATCCGAAGTAATGCGCGATTGCGGAAAATTAATTGAACGAAAATTTCTCGTATGTGCGAAGATTAAAAACAAAAATCGATAGATCGCTGTTAGCTCTCGATCCCTTTGTCCGCGCGCGGTCGAAATTGTCTCGAAAGCTGCGATAAAATTCTGCATGTCCTAAGCTCAAAAACAAGTACGTATACGCGGGGCGCAGCGCGAGCCCGCATTATTACGAACGCCACAAATAGCGAAGTATGTTTACAAACAGGATTTAGGATCATGAGCGGCGCGCCAAGCCAACGGCTCGCTCGGCGCAGCGCAGTGCATTATACGCATGCAGAGACACGAACGGCCTTGCGCGCCGCGGCTTACAATTGCAACGGCCTCGAAGAATAAAAATCGCGACTTATATATAGAGATACGCGTATACAGCGCGAGTTACCGGGTGTGTATTGCAATGTTTCGAGCTAATTATACATACGGTCCGAGTAAAGGGCGTTGTCTCTTGGAAATTTGTCATACGCTACGCGCGCAGCCGTCGATAAATTTTGTCGTTTTTAAACGCGGGCAACGTGTGAGCGTAATCTCGATCGACGCGCTTATTCGTGTGTGTGCGCAATCGCGTTTTCTTGTCCCGGTAGAAGTTTACTTTTTGACGAACTGCGTAAAACATTAAAAATAGATCGAACACGTGAACAATTTTTCCATTAATTGTATAATGGTCTTCTAAAAAATTAAATTTAAATTGTGCCTTGCAAAATTAAAAGCTTACATTTCATAATAATTTAAAGTCTTAGCGTAACAGACGTGCAGCTGGTATAGAAAAGTTATCTTAAATAAATGTATAGTGGCCTTGGAAGAAGTGCTCAGCGTTAATAATGGCCTAATGACCGAAAAATAAACGTTTAAAATGTTTTAAAATACGTATCTATAAATTTGCTTGTTTTTGGTGATTTTTCTGTCACAATAATGTTTAAAATATTGAGCGCATTTTAAATAATCTGAAAATGTCTGAAGTTTTCAATCACTTAAATACGATAAAACTGTAAGCCTCTGCACCAGATAATAAAGATAAAAATAATAATAAGTAATAAGGATAAGTCAAAAAAAGATTTTAATATCAGTTTCAATTGAATAGATGTCTTAGACGTTTAAGCCGTTTTTAGAAATGAGTACCAATCCAAGTTTAACTGGTATATAACTAGTCTGAGTCAGTTCGACGCCTGCTATTCATACAATGCACGCCCACAGATGCGTACAAAAACATGAAAATTCAAAGCCATTTCTATTTCTATTTCGATGAAAACTCAGAACTCAGTGCAACAAGATTCGGCAATATGATATTCATAATAACAAATCTGTGAGTCAAAATCAATAAGTTATACTGGTATAATACTGGTATAATACTGGTTTATACCCGCGTACATTTTGTGAAATCGTATCTGTTTCGTTTTGTATTTAAAAGAGCTACGAAAAATTAATAATGCCATAACTTCGTGATCCAGTGGTGATACTCGTTCGGAAGACGTTATACAATAGCAAAAAGTAATCATACTTTGATTAAGTTAAATAAATCGCAGATTTTGTTCTTAAACGGTTTTAAATTAATTAATACTAAGAAATTTAATGAAATAATTTTTTCTTGTGCTCCGTAGTGCAGTTTAAAAATAAAAATTATTGCAATTCTTTGGTTCGAGCATTGAACTAAGTGTAAAAAATAAATGTGTTTAATCAAGAATCAGTGCATTCAAATAATGGAGTTCTAGTGTTTTATTATTTTAGATTAAAACGAAGTTTCGATTTTTCTTTTTAAATTTCATTGGTTTTTTACAAGCCTTTGAAAATTTGCTTCTCTAGAACATTAAAAATTCAATTGTGTAAAATCATTCAATCCACATATTTTATATTATTACTAATTAAGTTTGAATTTGTGCAGATAACCATGAAATCAATGAAGATTGTATTCCTTTTGGTAGCATTGGCTGCATGTGCTAGTGCATCGCCAGCAGGCGCCACAACCAAACAAGACGATGATGAAAACACCCGAAGGATACCATATCATCCACCCACAAATGAAGAAATCATTATTGGCATGTTAACCGACATGGAGTCCAAGGTAAAATCGACCCTCATAGTCGCGTCGATCGCCTTGACGTTCACCATCCTCACGATGATCGGCCTCTACAGATACAGTAGAAGACAGACCTAACTTTAAGTTCAAACATTGATACTCAACTTACTCTCTTTAAAAAAAGGATGGTCTGAGCGTATCATACAAATAAATGTGTTGTGATAGTGCATTGAATTTGTGTAGATGGCGTAGGATGCATGGACCACGAGTTCGTAAATTCCTGATAGCGCTAGCGCGAGTACAGGTGCTTGTAAATTTAACTAAACTTTTACGGCAACTGAATTTAATGCAAATGTAATTAGTCGATAAGAATTCAATGTAAATTTTTCAATTTGAAACTTGATTTAAAAAAAAATTCTGTGCTTCAACTCGTTTGAAAATGGAATAAACTATTTTTTGTTACATTAACATTTTGCTACATTAACTCGATTAATAATCGAGTTTGAATTATTATGAACAAAGCTCATCAGACTGAATAGTATTTAAAAACTCTCTTGACTTCTTTTTATCCATACGAGCATTATTTAAAAAAACCGCTCCCAATTCATTGTCAAAGAGCTTACTCCTATTTTTAAGTTTTAATAAATTCTAATATCTTTAATAAATTTTTTAAAAACTAACGTCCACTCGACCAGTGCAGTCAAAAATGTTTCTGTATAGCGCACGTCGCAAATCACGCGTTCATAATATACTCGGCAAAAATTGTCTATATACACTCTTTATATAAAACTATGCTTGTCCACCTTGTTTCTCTCGAGCCGTGACTAGATCGATTTTTTGTCACTCTCTCTTTCTCTCTTATTCTGCAAAAGGAGAACGATAAATTGCGATAAATTATCGTCCCGGGACTAATTTACTATCGCGACACGCATCAATCAGAAGCTCGCGCGCGCATACAATTTATGCATAATTTATTCGCGTTTACAGCAGAAGCAGCAGCAGTACAGAAGCAGCAGAGGTATCCACGATCAAGAAGGGGGAAAACGATCAGCATTGAATGGGACTCGTCGTATATGCGCCGACATCGCAGGGACTTGTCGATCGACTTCTATAGAAGAGAGAGAAAGAGAGAGAGAGAGAGAGAGATCAGCTATATAATGCTCAATACATGTAGGAGGCTCTCGGCGCGTTTTATAAGAAGACAGCTGGCTGCGTGCTTTGAATCGTTAGTGGGTGCATTTTGAGCAAAGAGAATGCGTCGACGCGATCGCTTACGTACATATATATACCCTGGAAAAGTGTCCGCTGGCATTTCATCCAAGACAAATGGCCGTTTGAACCTTGTGCGTTATATACTGCGTATGGGATATATACCCCGCGAGCATCGATCGATCGCTTAAAAACTATATATGCCAGGCTCGATCCGCAGAGAGTGAAATATTTCAAGCTTTTTGTTGCGTCGATCGCGCTAGATATTTATAATGCTCCACGACTGCAGTGCTATACGTGTGTGCGCCAGCAGCAGCAGCAGCATCAGTACTTTTTGCCGCAACGATTAGAGTTTTAAATTGCTTAAAAGCCAGGGTGTGTTAAGAATCTCTGCTGCACCATACACGTTGCGGAATAAATAAAAAAAAAAAAAAAACCAATTGAAGAAGCGATAAAACCCTGCGCGATATTTTCTTCTGCACTGTCGACTCTCGAATTGTAACGAAAGAGATCGTGGTGCAACCGAGAGGTGAATAATAAACGATGTGGCTGCTGCTTCAAAAGCATGAATACGCAAATAATAATACATTGGCTTACGATATTCGAATGTGTGATGCGCGAATCGCGTTTGAGGCTATTCGGTGACGCCTAGGCACAGTGCACGAGAGAGGCTGTGTACTAAAAACACATCGTCTCGCGTCGGTCAACCAGTGATTTCGAGGCGCACACGAGCGAATTATCATACCATAGACCGTTTAGCCGTGTGCGATACAGCAGCAGCAGCTTGCAGCAACTTTCATTGTATGTACATTATATCCGCATCTCGCGGCCGTGCGCGCCGTCGCCGAGACATATTGCGGGTCATTCTGACTTTTTACGATCGAATGGTTTGTTTGTCGTCGTTTGCAACCTCTCTTGGGCTCTCTCTCGCTCGCTCGCTCGTGCAGCACTGCTAGCAGTTTCGAGTTTTAAAATTTTGATGGCTCTAACTGCGCGCGTATACGTATGGCGAGTCGAGAGCGAGAGAGAGCTTATATGGCTGTATTATCTTCGACTGCTGCCGATACACACATATGGCAGCTGCGTAACTCGTTGTTGTTTTCGCTTCTTATTATACATGATTCTTTCTGTTGTTGTTGTTGTTTTTTTCTCTCGCTCCGAGCCCGAGAGAGAGAGAGAAGAAGAAGAAGATGAGCTCTCGCAGTCGACGCGAGTAGTCGGCCACGGAGAGACAATGAATAAATTACGCAACAGTTAAATGATGGTACCCTATTGGTTATTTCGAGTGCGCGCATGAATATAAATTGCGCGACTGCACGTGTATATTAACGGCCGGGAGAAAATAAAGTGACGAAATGCTAAATCACTCCTAGGAGCAAATTGATACTTTGCATTTTTTTTCTCTCTCTCCCTGTTACATGCGTTCGTTAAAAGCTACTTGTATCTTCGACGCGTGTATGAATATTTTTCACGTGAAAGACATCACTTGCGGTAGCATGGCGAGCATTTGCTTCCTTATCCAGTGCACGTAGTGCGGGACGTAGGTCATGACGTCTGGCACGACGTCCGAGTTGCCGCAGGGCGTGGCGCCGAAGCTCACGATTCCCAGGACCATTCCGTCGCTCGTCACAGCCCCGCTACCGGAATCACCCTTGAATTTGAACAATTTTCGCGATAGTTATGGAAAACTCTTTTTCGTTCGGTAAAAGGAGGAGTTGCTCGGCTTACGTTACAGACACCTTGTCCTTCACCAGCGCTAACACACATCATCGTTTCTTGCTCTATGATTTTGTCAAAATTCAACGCTTTTGAGACTATTGGATATTCTCCTTGAATGTAAGTTTTCCAAGAAAAGTGACATAATTTGGTGTTGGTAACTTGCATGTTCAAGTAATGCAAGTGCAGCGGTTCATCATCTTTCTGTAAAGTGAGATCACAGAAACTAATGAATTAAAAAATAGTTGACCTAAATCACTCTCGCAATGAACATTCACCTCAGTCGTACCCCATCCTCCAATGGTCACTCGAGTATTTTCAGGAACTTTGTAATTTGCTGGAGGTAGTTTCGCACGAGCAACGTCGAATCTACTGAAGTCAAAGTAATTTTTGATTTTTATCAAAGCAATATCTCCACCGAGATAAAGGCGCTGCGAGGAAAAAATAACATAAATATCATGATAATTATGAATCAGTGAAAGTCAAATAATTAGCAACATACACCAGGCACAGTGTGTACAGCGATAGATTCTACGGCGTAAGCTTGAACGTTTGGTGAATCGGGATGTTTTAACTTATGCGTTCCAGCTACCACTTCAAGCCTCTTTACTTCGGATTTGGCATCTCTAAATAACAACGATACATTGTTGTGTTAATCTATCTAGAAATAAATTTTATGTTTATCAAATTTTTACCCTATGATACAATGAGCTGCAGTGAGCACAAAACGTTTGTTAATTATAACGCCGCCGCAGTGAAACGGAGTCATGAACCAATCGCTGATAACTGGCACATAATGAATGAGTGAGGGTAACCAGCTCGGCTTGTTCCATCCGTTTCTTCGCAAGTACACGAGGTAAGGAAACATGGCATAAGTAGCCTTTGTCCCTCCATGAACTTGGCGTTTGATTGTTTAAGATCAATAATGAATTATTTTACAGTTTTTAGTTATCTTGATTTCAATTTTATGTAATATAACACCTACCTCTGCTTTTTACTTTTGCTTGTGTTAGTTGCCCAAAACAAAAAATTATTGCAGTTGCTACTAAAATATGTTTCATTTTGTACAACTAGTCGTCAATCGTAGAACAATCAACAATTATTTTCAGGAAAACCCTGTTCAATATTCAGAATAAAATTTGCTAAAATTCATTGTTTCAACAATCACGGTAATCGTGATGTAAAAAGTAGTAAAGTAAAAAGGTAATGTCATAATTCGTCATTCAAAAGTTATATTTATCATAACTATACGGTCAACCACAGAATTCGGCATCAGACACTATTGTTTTTTCCGTTAAACTGCTCATGTGTAATTAGAATACTCTTCAAAGATTTGATAGTAAGACTATTTTTGTCCTTGGGAAGTGTCGCTAAAAAGATGCATGTAAAAAGACACCCACGCGTGCAATCGAAAAGTTTTTTATTAGATCGTAAATAAAAGCAGACAATGTGCCATTGGAACTTAAAGGTTAAAATGAAATGAATACATACGCATCCAGTCGTGTTTATCGGGTCAAGAATAAGGGTATATCGTCAAACTTTGAAGCAATTTTATCACGCCTGAATATAAATCTGCAATATAACTAAAAAATTAAAATTACCGCATTTTATATTTGGTCAAAAAATTTGTTGCGTTTGCAGTATTAATAGCTAATAATGTTCGTCATATCTTCATAAATTATCATATCAGCATTGCTTCGACTTCAGTGTCACGCAATTTTCGTGCTTCCATACCTCAAATGGCGCAAAAATAAAATATGTCAAATGAGCAGCAGCAGTAGCATCGCGCTACAATTATCATTTGCAGCTCCTGCATGGCTATTGGCATTGCCAAGATGTACATTTAATTTGGGTCCGCAGACCTGCACGCGTGTCTCTAAAGCTTATACCATTATATGCATTGCGCGCAGTCCGTCCGTGTCTGTGCGCGAGTCGAAGAGAAACAAAACCACTAATTAGGTATCGCGGCTATAATACAGGTTATTATATGCACGTTTCACATTTTTAACTTCTTTGAAACTATTGCAATAAAAAATCAGATACTTCTACACCAAATTTCAACTGGGAACGACCTTATTTACCTCAGGCGTCCAGGCGCTAAATATGGCAAAATTAATGGCAAGCCATATGAGTTTTCTTTTACTTGGATTAAATAAGGCCAGCCACCAACTATAAGTATCAAGTACTTTTTATTTGGATGGTACGCAGAGCTATCAAAAATTGAATCATCTGATGTTTTGGTTTATTTTTAACATTATCGTTTTTATTTTAACCCAGTGCGACGTACATACGATCAATCACACCTCGTATCCAACGCGCCCAAAGAAGTTTCACTACCTAAAGGAAAAAAAAAGAAGCAGCTCGCACCGATCGCTACTAATAGCGAGCGTCCAAAGTAATACCTGTCCGCGTATATGGACGCGCGCGCGCGTACACAAGAAGGGAGGCATACATGCCAATTACCCTCGCCGAGTTAAGTACAGCATCGTCGTCGTCGTCGTGGTCGTCGTGGTCGTCCCCCCGCGCACACGTGTATACGTGCATTATATTTGCGCGCGGCCCTGGCCGAAGAGCGAGGTAATCGTCGCGCGTATATATGGGTCAAAATAATACTTTTTTACAAAACCGTGCGCACGTATGTCACCGATCTTGACGCGCTTTTGGTATGTTATAGTACATGGTAAAAAGGTCCCAAAAAAAAATTTTTAGACCCCCTCCCCCCTCCTACCCCCCACTTCCGGTATAAACGTCCATTTTCGATCTATATTTTTTCTGAGGACATGAAGCAAGTAAAAAATCTGAAAAAATTCATAAAAATACTTTTCCACAATCCAAACAACCTTGAATTTTTTCAGATTTTTTGAGTGCTTCAGGCCTTCAGATAAAATCATTGAAAATTTCAAAAATCGAGATACGGCGGTATGAGCCGATGTAGTACTCGGAAATTTTTTCAGTTATTTTTCGCATTAAAAAACATAACCTCAATTTTTTTCAGATTTTTTCAGATTACCTAACGCACCTTTTGAAGCCAAAAACCGATTTTTTTGACGAAAATAATTTTTTTAGGACAGTACGGAGCCTCGAAAAATCTGAAAAAAATTTTTTCTTGTTTTTTTCATCAAAATACGTAATCTCAAATTTTTTCAGATTTTTTAATTGAAGGCGATAGCTTCTAGGGCCGAAAAATGCTATTTTTAACAAAAAATGGTTCCTAGAACCCGATGGTTCCGGTGAAAAAATTTGAAAATATTTTTTTTGAATTCCTTGTCAAATTTTAATAAATTTTGACCGTTTCAAAAGTTCGATTGAAGCTTCCTAGCTCATTTTAGAGCATCAAACGAGTTTTATCATTCCTTAATGTCTTCAGAAACGTCTTCAGATATTTTGCACTAATCTTTGTCCTGCTCTAAAATGAGCTAGGAAGCTTCAATCGAACTTTTGAAACGGTCAAAATTTATTAAAATTTGACAAGGAATTCAAAAAAAATATTTTCAAATTTTTTCACCGGAACCATCGGGTTCTAGGAACCATTTTTTGTTAAAAATAGCATTTTTCGGCCCTAGAAGCTATCGCCTTCAATTAAAAAATCTGAAAAAATTTGAGATTACGTATTTTGATGAAAAAAACAAGAAAAAATTTTTTTCAGATTTTTCGAGGCTCCGTACTGTCCTAAAAAAATTATTTTCGTCAAAAAAATCGGTTTTTGGCTTCAAAAGGTGCGTTAGGTAATCTGAAAAAATCTGAAAAAAATTGAGGTTATGTTTTTTAATGCGAAAAATAACTGAAAAAATTTCCGAGTACTACATCGGCTCATACCGCCGTATCTCGATTTTTGAAATTTTCAATGATTTTATCTGAAGGCCTGAAGCACTCAAAAAATCTGAAAAAATTCAAGGTTGTTTGGATTGTGGAAAAGTATTTTTATGAATTTTTTCAGATTTTTTACTTGCTTCATGTCCTCAGAAAAAATATAGATCGAAAATGGACGTTTATACCGGAAGTGGGGGGTAGGAGGGGGGAGGGGGTCTAAAAATTTTTTTTTGGGACCTTTTTACCATGTACTATAACATACCAAAAGCGCGTCAAGATCGGTGACATACGTGCGCACGGTTTTGTAAAAAAGTATTATTTTGACCCATATATATACGCGTATAATACAGAGGCAACTCTCTCGGCAACTACTGCACTGCGCCGCGCGCGAAATAGCTACTGCACGCACGCATGTATCGACGAGACGAGGCTACCGATCGCGCGTTGCGATCGCGATCGCCACGACGCGTTCCGTCCACCCAAGCCGCGTATACACGTATGCATGCCAGAGTAAGAGAGAAGAGATCACGAGCGAGTTTCGCGTCCGCAGCTGTCGTACCCAAGCAGCCTCGCGTTGCGCACACCTATGCAGCGGTATTATGTACGCTGAAAAGAAAAGTCCACGTCTCTCTCTCTCTCGCTCGCTCTCGTCCCGAGAATTGGCAACTATGGGATTCAACGAAACCTGCTCCAACTTATACTCGAGCGAGGAAGATTCTTTACACCCTCTCCACCTCCTCATCATCCTCCTTCTCGTCTTCGCGGATTTTTCGATTCCTATCTAACCGGAGCAAAATCAACCACTCGCTCGAGTCGCTTATTTTTCGTGTGCGCGAGCGCGCGTGCGAGCTGAGTATATAATACATCCGAGCAACCCGCGCGCCACTGGAATGATGATAATTATTTGTGGGCTTCTTGTGGGCGGGTAGGGTAATTATTCTGCATGACGTACATGAAATGTACACGGTGTGCTCGTGAGCGCGATGCTTTATATATTTATATATATTATATGTATAAGTTGTATAACTTATTTACGTTGAAGCGATCCGTATAGAGGAGTTGAGCTTGCTTTCAACATTTTTTTCCCTCCTTTATTACTTCGGGAGTACTTTCATCAAATCTCGACCGAGAAAATTAGATCATTTATTTAGATTTAGTAAAAAAGAAAAGCCGTATCGTTCGTAATTTATTTCAAGTTCTACCGACAAATTATGTTTAAGTAAAGCATTAAATTTTAATAACTCTATAAAAGCGAAACGTGATTATGAAAGTTATGATAGGTTCGACGAGGAAAAATCGTTCAAATAAGGAATGATGTCAGTAATGTTTTTTTGTTGAATCAACTGAAATTATTTTTCAGCATTTCTTTAACAATGAAACCAATTTTGAGAGTTTTGATTTTGATTTTCCTGGCGATATACGTCAAAAGTGCTCAATCAGAGAAACGTGCGTACATTTCATTTATCAACATCATCCTTAGATCTGATTACAATCTCTTTTTTATGCAGATCTGGTGAAAAGGCAAATATATGGCGGCTGGGAATCAAGCGATAGTCATTACTATCCGTATCAAGTTTACTTGAGAAGAAATGGTTGGCAGAGACCTTCTTGGCTACCTACTGTTGCTCACTCATTGCCATACATTACCAATTGGTTTGCTATGCCATTTCACTGTGGCGGTGTCATAATAAGCGAATATCACGTGCTAACGGCTGCACATTGTATTTTGGGGTACGATTGAAGATATTTTGAATAATAATTCGCGCATGAATTCGTATATATGAATGCTGAGTCGATTCTTTTTATCTTAGATCTCCAGAAAAAGAAGTCAATAGAATTGAAGTCGTTGCTGGAAGTAACAAGCGCATTGACTCATCTGCAGTGGTGCACAAGGTGCAATCAATCGCTGTACACGAACAACCTCGGGTAAGTTAAGCCATAGACGTCTTATTGCAAAGTGAATATCTAAATTTTAACTATCTAATACTGTCAGTTTTTCTACGATATTGGCGACATTGCTGTTATCAAAGTCGCAGAACCCTTTAAGTTTAGCAGTAAAATACAGCCGGTTAAATTACCAAAACACAATTATGTAGTTGCCCCTAAAACTCCTGTTGTTGTTACTGGATGGGGCGAGACTGAAGTAAGTAGTAAATTTCACTTATATTTTTATGAAACAATGTCTCTCGTCAAGTATGATTTGGCATTATTAATATAATTCATTAAATATTTTACCTTTATAATTCTAAAATAAATATAGACCTCAATTTTAATCGCAATCAAAATCATAGGATATGTATTCGGTTGATTATTTGCACGTTTTGGTCATGAGAGTGGTGGAAATAGAACAATGCCGAGAATCTTGGTTGAAATTGTATCGACAAACTGTTCCGCTTCACTCATACCTTTTGAATTTCAAAAAGTTGGTTCACGATTCCATGATATGTATTCAAGGTCGAACAGGTCAAAGCATATGCGCCGTAAGTTATTAATTGCTAAAATATTATAATACAATTCTAACTTTTAATCTAAGATAGTCATATAGTTATCATGCGAAAACCAAGTGTAATTCTCATTTCACGATTTGTAAACACAACACATAAAACCGTAAAATTTAATATAAAATAGTTAGATTGATTCAAATTAATCAATATGATTCTTATTTTATAATATTTTTATTAATTTCCTAAAATCTGACAGTTGTTTTTAAGGAATGAAATAATATAGCATGGTAGGAATCTAAAATTAACACAATAGAGATAACGCAATAGATCCATGATAAAATAACAAAATCGAGTTCATACTTCAAATTAGATTCTCACTTTCACTATACGTTGCCTGATAGAGAAAAGAACCATTGTCCGCTCGATGTAGACCTTTGTTGTTTGAAAGTAGACGATAGTGGAAGGTATCAGTTCGATCTTACAAGCACACAGGTTTGTCTTCGGTGAAGCGAACGCCCGCCGTAAATTGTTTGGCTATTTTACACTTGAGATGCGTCTCCAGCTTGCTGTTGTCCCCAACCCACTCGGACCAGATATGATCCTGATCGTTTTTGTCGAACAGAAATCCATACATTTCGTACACGAACTGATGAAATTGCAGCTTCTTAAGATTCGAAGGTGCCTCGTCGTTGACAGATTCCTTTATTTTTTCCAGTGTCTGGAGCACCTCAAGTTGGTTCTCTTTACTGATAGGTAATAATGCCCATTCACCGGTTCTCTCTGCCTTCATTTTTTTCAGTTTCTCGAGCACCTCAAGCTGGCTCTCTTGACTAATAGGTAATGCCAATTCACCGGTTCCCTCTGCCTTGACCGTCTCGTAATCGCAAGGTTTCTCCTTGATGCTAATTAATTTCAACAAAATTAAGAATTATGCTACAATATTTTCTTGATTCAATTCTTACAAATGATAAATTACCTGAGAGCCCATTCAAATGTACCGTTGGAGTCCATGTTGCTCGCTTAGAATCTCGTCAGCAATTAATCTGTCTATATAACGATGTTACACATCCAAGTAGGTGACTTAAATTTTAATATTTACAAATCGTGAAATGAAAATTTGAGCCGACACAATGTACGTAATGTAAACAGAGCAAGACCAAGTTATAATTATTAAAGCAATCATCAATGTATTATTAAATTAATCAACATTGATCTCCCGCTTAATGAAAAACGAATATTTTTCGACGAATGAAATTCCATTACAAAAAAATTTTAAATTATGAAAAATCGTTTTACAGTAAAAACGTAATAGTAAAATAAACAATCGATTGACTTTGAAATTTCTAAGGGTGATTCTGGTGGTCCCGCTGTAACGATTGACGGAGTACTGGTCGGAATCGTCAGTTTTGGCAGTCGTCCTTGTGGTAATGAGAACAAAACACCCGACGTTTTTACCCGAGTGGCTTACTACATACCATGGATCAAAAAGCACACAGAGCCAGAGGTTGAAGTAGTTCAGTAAATTGCAATGAAGATAATTCAATTGGTGGAGAGCGCAAAAGAAATTTGCTTAAAAGTACAAAAATTGTAAGAATAAAAAAATATTCAAAAAACAAATCACTGTCACTGCTTTGTCAAAACAAAAATAGTTAATTTCTCCAGCGATTTGACAAGAACTCGAGAGTAATAAATTAGCGATGCAGAAGAGAGTTTGTTTTGAATTCTGTATCCCTTTATTTCTTTGAGACTACTATCATTTAATTTGAGCAAGAAAATTAAATCATTTATTTAGATTTAGTAAATAAGAAAAACTGTATCTATCATAAATTAGTTTTACCGACGAATTATTTCAAATAAAGCATTAAATTTTAATAACTCTACATAACCAAAACGTGATTTTATTTTATTTGAAAGATAGCTTCGCTGTGGAAAAGTCATATAAATAAAGAATATCAGTACTTTTTTTTTGAAACAATTGAAATTATTTTTTAACAGTTTTGTTCACGATGCAAGCGATTTTGAAAATTTTAATTCTTCTTTTTCTTGCAATAAAATTCAAAAGTGCTCAATCAGAGAAACGTACGTACGTTCATTTATCAACATCATACTTAGATCAGATCAATTATATCGTCGTCCCAGCGCAAAAAACCGCATTGATAAATTCGAGTGGCAAAATCAGCCTTAGTCCATATGTAAAAGGATAGGACTAAGGCACGTTTTTGTCTCGTGGGTTTATGAGTGCGATTATTGCGCTGGGCAAGGATATCCTTTTTTTACGCAGTTCTAGTGAAAAGACAAATCTATGGTGCCTGGAATGCGAGGGATGGTTCCTATCCGTATCAAGTTTACTTAAGAAGAAATGGTTGGGAGAGACCTTCTTGGCTACCCCAGATCGCCGACTCTTTACCAGTTATTGGTAATTGGTGGACTATGCCTTTTCGCTGTGGCGGTGTCATAATAAGTGAATATCACGTGCTCACGGCTGCACATTGTATTTTGGGGTACGGTTGAAGATATTTTGAATAAAAATTCGCGCGTGAATTCGTATATGAATGCTGAGTCGATTCTTTTTCTCATAGATCTCCAGAAAAAGAAGCCAATAGAATAGAAGTCGTTGCTGGAAGTAACAAGCTAATTGATCGAAATTCAGTGGTACACAAGGTGCAATCAATCGTTGTACATGATCAACCTCGTGTAAGTATAACAATAGCTTTTTCATTGCACAGGTAATCTTTTAATTTAAACTGTGTTATTCTGTCAGCTTTTTTATAATACTGGCGATATTGCTATTATCAAAGTTAAAGAACCCTTCAAGTTTAACGATAAAATACATCCCGCTATATTACCACATCATAATTATGTAGTACCACCTGAAACTTTGGTTGTTGTTACTGGATGGGGTGAGACTGAAGTAAGTAGTAAATTTCACGCACTTTTATAAAACAATGTCTCTCATAAAGTATAATTTTGCATCATGAGCGTATTTCAATTGACACTTATAAATAATTCCAAGATTTTTTGTCCCAGTATTACTGAAATGAATTTAAAACTTTATTTTAATTGCATTTAAATTTATAGGAGATGTATGTGGCAGATAGTTTACGCGTTATAGACATGAAAACTGTCGACATAGAAGAATGCCGAAAATCTTGGAAAAAATGGTTTGGAAAAACTGTCCTGTTTCAAAAATACATTTTAGATTTCAACAAGGTAGTTGATCATTCTATGATATGTATTCAAGGTGATAAAGGTCAAAGTGCATGCGCTGTAAGTTATTTATTACTAAAATATCACAATACAATTTCTCGCGCAAAAAATATTATTTGCCGCGTGCTCGGCGTGGGCGCAGAAGTGTGCTGTAAAATAGCGCGACAAACCGTAGAGTTTTTCAATGATTGAGACAATTAAAAAAAAAAAAAAAAGAATAATCTCACTGTGCACGAAGAACTGTAAGAAAATTTATTGTAAAATTGTTCGTACATTTCTAAGGGTGATTCTGGTGGACCAGCTGTAACGATCGAAGGAATAGTGGTGGGAATCGTCAGTTTTGGCAGTCGTCCTTGTGGCAATATGGTGGGTAATGCACCCGATGTTTATACCCGTGTTGCTCATTACATACCGTGGATAAAAAAGCACACAGAACCACAAATTCAAGCAGTTCAGATATAGAAGGGAAAATAATTCTGAGAGCAAAGAGCGCAAATAAAATAATTAATACTTAATATTGAAAAAATTATGAGGATTTTAAAAATAAAAAGGTATTCAAAAAATACTGCTACGCCAAAAAAACCTGTCTGCTCGTTTCGTTACTTGTATAACATTACATCAGCTCACGACTCAACAATCGCTCGAGACGGCAAAACAAAAAAAAAGTAAATTTCTCCAACGAATTGATAAGGACTCGAAGGCAATAATTGTCAAAAGGAAGCAGTAAATTATCGAGATTGACACGTGATACATTTCAATTGGCGCGCGCGCTAAGCTACTGCCGGTCGCGGGCGGAGTACGTATCTGGTTGCGGTACTCGACGGGGCTAGCGTACGCCACATTGATAAGCCGTTTTTTTTCTCTTTCAATTTTTCTAAGCGTACCCATACAAGCGGAGGCGTTTTATTCAAATGGAAACGTTGTGGGATAATTTATAATTTGTTTGTCGCGGGACTTTTTCGCGCGCTCGGCTCTCTTTCGGAAAACCGGTTTGTCTCGATGTACGAAACACATTAAAAATGTAATACTTCATTCGCGGTCGAAGCACAAAAACGACGACGACTCACGTGCAGCGCGTGAACTATGCGCGCGCGACCGTAAGCGCGTAGCTGTGGCATTGTGAAAAATGGTTAGCGCTCGAAACTCGCTAAATAACAGCCACAAGCCCGTTTGAAATTTTCCAATATACGCCTCGTAGTCGCGCGCGCGCGAAAACCTGTTGACACGCTCGAGTCGCTAATCCTCGCATTAATTCGCATAATATAGCTACCGCGCTCGAACCCGTGCGCTTGAATAAGCGGCGCGAAGCCTAAAATCGAATAAATAAAAGCGAAAGAAAACAAGAAGCACGAGGAGCGAAGAGGAAGTGTGCTGCAGCGAACGTATTCGCACCTCGGCTGGACATCGGACGCGTCGAGAGAAAATCAATGCCGAACCATCAATCCTATCGTGCAAGCCTTTAACACGTGTAAAATCGTGGCTCGCTCGTCATTATCGTACACACCGCTCGAGCTTTATACACTTGGGCGACCCTGCAATTTTCTACTCGACATCTCAATATATATTAGTCGTCTCGGTAGTGGTAGAAGTAGTAGTAGTAGTAGTAGTACCTCGTCGTGCTCATATACTGTATCGAGCCGAGAGAATCACTTATTATTTGATTAATGCCAATGACCCGATGATTTATGCAGCTCGCGAACGGAGAGCGAGTCACTAGTATAGTATAGTAACAGCTACGGGGAACGATCAGCTGTGCTCGTGCACGAGCCGTGCAGGTAGTAGTCGAGCCGCGTGGCATGGCTCGATTTTTCTTCTTCTTTCTCCTTTTTCGTATTGGCACGAGAATCGCATGCATCTCCGACTCCATCGATCATTATGCCTTTAGCTGCGCGGCGCGATCTGCTGCTGCTGCTGCTGGAGAGGACGCACCTACGTACATATATATACACAGGGGTTCTGAATCGGTTTCCTCTATCGGCTACCATAAATCCTGCGTACGCGTGTACCGCTGCCGGAATCACACGAGCTCGTGCGCGCGTCCACCGCGGCATATGTTATACCACTGCACGAGCTCTCGAGCGCGCGCGAGAAGATCGCCAGGGCAGCGCCTGACCGAAACTCGCATGCTCTCGCTTGCCCGCGTGCTGTGTATAGCAATTTTACGCGATGTTTTTGCCGTGCCTTCTTAATTACCGAGTAATTAAGAGGATGTTGTTAAGGAAGGGAAGATCGATCTTGCGTTGCTCTCATTTTACTGCGTTTATGTCTCATATATGCGGCACACGCGTCCATATGGAGCCCTGCGCCGCGTGCTCGGCCGATGATGTAGCGCGGACAATTTGTTCGCGTGTATTTTTATCCCTCGTCGCATTTAAATATATACACACGAAACGAGAAGCGAGATTCGATCTGTGCGCGAGAGGCTAAGCACGGCCGCTACCTATATAATACCGATACGTCGTTTTGTTCGATCGACTTCACCAAGTAGTAGTGGTAGTTTCTTTTCTCCTTCCGTCCTTTGATACGTATGAAAAAAAAAGCTCGAGAACATTATACGGCTAAATTTAAAACGATCACGTAGATATAGGTGCGGGAGGTGACGCGTTGAGTATTTCAAAGATGCTTGAAACGCCGCGCCGAGAAAGAATTTATCAAGTTCTCCGAGTCGCTTTCTCTTCCTTATGTATCCTTGGAATAGCTTCTGAGTTAGAACATTTTGACCACGAGAAACGCGTAAAAGAATGAGCGCGACGTAAGATTTTTTGTTGCTACGCAGTATCGCACGCTCGAGAAAGCTTTTATTATGAAGAATACACTTTTGCAAAATATTACTATTTCAAGTGGATATGTACAGGATGATTTAATTCTTTATCAGCATCGGAAATAATTGACGATAAATATGTATAAATTACCCCCGTATTATAAACTGTTTAGGATCTATCTATGAAGATAAAAATTCATAAATCGACAGTGTGTGCAAACATCCAGGCGTTTTAACTATTTTATATTCGTAAAAAAAAAAACTGGTAAACTACAGAGATACCTACACCGATCGCGTCGAATATTATAACGTTAATATATCCAGGCGAGCGAGCGTCGACTTTGCGTACGACGGAAGGATCATAGGGCGCCGATAATACGAAAGAGTCTGTACCTGCGTACACGTGTGTGTGTGTGTGCGTGCGCACGCAGATTTATCTATATGTATCGTTCACTGCCACCGCGCGGAAATTATAATAAATTACGGGGTGAGTCGCCGCTGCGGCCGCGCGTACCCGACGCTGTTGCTGCTGGAATTTCGTATCCGTATGCACACACACATACACACGTGCATGGCGTAATAAATATTATTAACGCAAACTCTCTTTCTCTCTGTCTCACCCGATCGCTGCGGCCAAGGCGCAAAAGATACTGCGCGCAAGGGGCGAGCTCGAGGTAAAAAAAAAAAAAACAAAATAAATAAAGAGCAGCAGCAACAACAGCAAGAGCAATAACAACAACAACAACAACAACGGCGAACGATCGGCGTTTAAAGGTGTATTAATCGATGTACGCGCGCTCGAGTTGCAGCGATTTTTCGAGCTTTATAAGCGCTTGTGTGCTGCTGCCGATGCTGTTGGCTCCGAAGTATACGATAGAGATTAATATATCGCCGCTACGTATGGGTGCGCGCGAAATTGCGCACCGTGCGCATATCTACGATTTATCACGAACTTTTTCGACGAAATGCGTATATGGCGCAGCAACGGATACGCATTTAATCCCTGCGCGCGTGATAAAAGTGCGAACGGAGGCAATGCGTCCGAGATCGCAGCTTCATCAACACGAGAGCTGCGCAGAATTACACGTTAGAACAGCGGCAGCTCGTCTATCGCTGCGTAAAGGCACGCGCGCCTTTTTACATACGAGTTATTTTAATACCGTTGAAAATTTGTTTACAGAGGCTGTTGCGGTCGTGGTGTTGCTGATTCTACGCCGATTTGACGCGGTACAGCCGCTCGAGAGCTGTAATTCAATTAACGCGATAACCTATCGCGGGGTAGACAGAGGGGGAAAAAAGTTGAATTTGAAGCAGTGATCGCATCCGTGTCGACGCATCGAGTTGGATCTATAAAAGTTACCCTGAGCTGTCGAAAATGCTCGATCGAAAAATAATTTAAAATTTTACATTCGAATTTTATTTTTGAATTGGAAAACGCCTATGTACGGTGTTGAAAAAAACCTTGCACTTGGAGCAGATCTTTAATGTAAAATCTATGACATTAATTGATGTATCAGTACCGTTTGATTCCTCATAGACTGCATAGTACATGTATGGATAGTGCAATTTGTAAAGCCAAAATGAACAAATAATGATAATAATGAATTGAATATCAATGCATCGATGTACTGACTTAGTTTTTGTGACAATTGCACAAAAAAAATTTTTTTGAACTAAATCATAATTAAAGCCAGCCTACCCTACTAAATAGAATACCTTCTTCTATAAATCTGCAAGCGGCAAAATAAAAATAATCAAAGCTTGTTACTGAATTTTTGAAAGTTGATGCCGATCCTTTTTCGCGCACATGATACAAAAAGTATATAGAAGTACAACCGTAATTAAATCCACCTGTCACCGCTAGATGGCGGGTACCTTTATCAGTAAATCTGCAAGTGGTAAAGTTGAAATAATTGTATAAGTCAAAGCAAGGTTTCGATACGACGTGTAAGGGTGTCGGACTAATGTCGTCATCAATGGTCTTGCATTCATTCGCAAAGGCTTACGTGCAGCGCGATTACACTCCTTCGCGCGCAATCACGCGACATTTTACTTCGACCGCGTTACACCATCTCCTCGGCTTTCTTTTCTCATCGCCCGGAGGAGCAAAACAAAAGCAAAAAAAAAGTCGAGGAACAGAAGAAAAAAACGCGCGTGGTACCATCCGCAGCCCGAAGGCCCACGCGCACGCTTTTAAAAAAAACGGCAGCAACGCAGCATCGGCTGCTGCAGTGCGCACAACAACAACAGCAGCAGCAGCAGCATAATACATAATACCGAGCGGAGAGTACGAATTTCCAAGAAGACCCCCGTAAGTCGTTATATGCATTACATTTTGTTCGTTTCTCTCGTTGGCCGCAAATTGCCACCCTCTGCAGCGGCAGCGCAACTCGGGCTCTCTCTCTCTCTGCTTTTTCTCTTTCATTCAGACTCTCGGGATGCGAATACACTCCGGCCGCAGCAGCTATCTGTATATACATGCTGCATTCGGGGCAACAATTTTCGGTGTATTACAAATCCTTGGTACGCACGCGCAGACACCCGCTCCTTTCTGCTGGTGCTCCTGCAACCACCGCCGCCGCCGCCGTCGACGACGAAGCGTGTGCCCGAAGCTCTGCTGCGCTGCGCCTTCATTCGATGCATAAAAGCTGCTGCTGCTATCGCGTGCGGCTAAGTGCAGGGCCTTATACACATCTCTCGCGAGGAGTCTCTATATATACCTCACC